AAGACATAATTAATTGATTTGATTTTTGTTTCATCAAAAAAAAAACCGTTCGGCTACAAAAAAGAAAAAAAAAAATTATTTTGGTTAGGCTAAAAACCGTTCGATATTATGTCTGCGAGTTGAATTAAGATAGAATCTGTGAATTTTAAATGTTTAGAGATTTGTTAAATTCATAGAGAAATTTGTAAGTTTGGAAAGAGTTTTGTGTATTCAATAAATTTATTAAATAATTATATTGTAAGAATTTTGATTGTGAAAGTTTTGTTTAATGATTTAAATTGTTAAGAATCATACTTTCAATAACACTGGTTTTTGCTAGAATTACACAATCATTAAAGATCAAAGTTTTTTTAATAAGAGTAGATTTCGTTAAAGATTGTTTGAATTTATACACCAATAACAATGGATTGTTAGAATTTATAAATCAATAACAGTGGATATCATTAAAATCATTAGAATTTATAAACCAATAACAATAGAATCTAAAAATTCTAAGAATCATATTCCCAATAACACCCCATTCAAAACCTATTCCATTCAAAATGGAAGAAGAATTTTTCGTACGGACATGGCTCAACTTTGAGATAGTTGATTATCTTAACTTTTTTGAGATTTGAAATGAACAGATAGGCTCAACTAAAACGAAGTTGATCCACCCAATCGAGCGTAAAAGTGAAACCCTAGTGGATATGAAGAACGAACTCAAATGAATTGACGAACAAACTACACACGATGATGATGTACCTGAGAAAACGACGATGGGAGATCGAACTATCAGAGGCAAGAAGGCTACACACTTGCGTTTTCTTGTTTTTTTTTTTTGTCTATCAAAAAGAAGGAGAAAAGAGTTACACGTTAAACCACCCATTGAATTCATTATATAGTACGAGTTAGATAGAGAGAGATCAACTATAGTTAAGTTAGTTTGTTAATTCTGTATTCCTTACGAAAGTAGGAAATTAACCCAACGTTTAAATTCATTTGATTAAAAAAAAAAAACTTATAAATGACTACTGAAATATTTAATAGTATATACTTGATTTTATTTTAACTTGATTACAAACTAATTCGGTTTAACTAATCTGAATAAAACCTAAAAAAAGAAACCAGTAAAGAAAACTAGTAAAACGCAATGTCACCCTTCTACACAAAGTGTTGGAAGCTCCAAAACCCAAAAGATAGACAATGTTACATCTTTAATGAACAAATAAGGATAAATGAAAATGGAAGAATGATTGATCAAAAATAGATTCAAAAGGGGAATCCTTTACGAACATACTTCTTGGATTCCTCAGCCAAACGTTTCATACTCTTCGCTTTCTCGTAAACTTCCATCAACTCAGCTGCAACATCTTGTGGATGACACATTACATAAACCTTCAAGAACCGTTTTTCGCTCATCCTTAGCGTTGTGGCAATGTTCACTTCTTCTACTAGCGCCTTTAGTCCCATTTCGAAGACTCTCTTCACGAGTTCCACGCGGGGTCTTAGACGAGTCTCGAGGTTGAAGAGAAGCAAGAAAGGGTACTTAAGCACGGAATGAGCTGGAAGTTTCATCGAGGCAATGACGAAAGTCATGTTTCTCTGAACTTTTTCAACTGACAAAGTGAGTATGATTGGACATTTTCCACACAGATTCCAAATCTCTTCTTCTGAGAACCCGAACTTTTCCAAGTTTGCAACTTTCTCTTTGATTGTCTCCATCCTCGAAACCCCGATGGTGGCTGCAACGTATTTGAACATCTTGGAGTCTTTGGTGACCCCTGTTTTCTGAATGTACTCAAACTTCTCCTTGTTAAAGCTTGTTCTTGGAATCAGTGTGGGTCGTGATACAAACATTGCGACAAGATCCTCTTGGCTAAATCCCAGCCCTTTGTAGAACTCCATCACAGGTTTGATCTTTTCATTGAGGTCATACAACATGAGTGAAGGATTCCGGATAATGACTTTACGCACCAACTCTTTCGACCCCAAAAACTCCATGAAATAGTTGATCCTTTCGTCAAGAACAAGGTGAATACGTCGACTAAGGAACCTCGGACGACAATTCACAATCTTGACAAGGTCTGATGATGTGATTCCCAGTGGAGTAAGAAGGCTTAACTTAAACTCTAGCTGAACAACATTGGCTCTCTGCAGAGTCGGCCTACGAGTAAAAAGCTTTGATATTTCATCATCATTACAACCCCATTTTCGTAGAACTTCCAATGAACTAATCTGTCTCACTTTCTCTTTTTCTCCAACACGATTTACTTTGTCTTCATGATTCAATCTACCAGAGGATACAACAGATGGCTCAGAACCGTCATTGTATTCTTCAGCTTCGTTCAGGCATAACGTCGAACAGTTGGTGGTCACAGTAGCAGATAAGATATTTCTGAAACCTGTTTTTCTCAC